GACAGACATTTTAAGATGGGAGAAATTAACAGGCTTCAAGATGAACCTGAAGGAGTAAGTGGATAGGGAGGCAAAAAAAAAAAAAAGGATGGAAAGGATGGATTCCCATCTTGGCTTCCAGGACCAAGATTTAGGCCATGCGAGGGACTGTAACATTAGAAAAGAGAAATGAAACCTCCCTTTCACTAGCTGGAAGGACAAGAGGACAGATTTGGAGAGGGAACTCTATGAAGGTCAAGTTAAGGATAAAATGGAAAAGTGGGTTTAAAACTACTCTATAAAGAATGATGTGCTGGTAAACCTCCTTTCTGGAAATTCCTCATAGATTTTCATATACTCCGCATTACTAAATGCCACTAACTTGGAGTGTGACACTGGGCCAAGTCACTTGGCTCTCTGAGCTTTTGTTTCTTTATCTGCAACATCAGAGAGGCATGGGGTGACAGGGTAATGTTTTCTAAAGGCCTCTTCCTACCCTAATGTTTTGGAGTTTATTTATGCATTTTTCCCTTCTGATTGTTCCACGCCATCCTCTATATCTTTTCTTTGCATTTACAGCTGCAAACCCCTTCTCTACTTATTTTGAATACTTCCTTAACACACTATGCATACAGACGGTGTTCAACAAATGTTTTCTGAATTAATCTAATTCCCACAATGTCAGAGTTTCAGGACAAATGTGTGCTTCATCACCTCTCCCTCTCTCCCGAAAGCTATCTAAAGAAGCACAGTCACCCAGTGCTGCTGGAGTCCTTTCTTGGATAATTCAGCCGTGATAAAAACACTTATCTGAAGCCAAAGCACAAATACAATTGAATGTCAAATAAATCAGTGCCCTAAGTGTTTTAGATCTTGCCCTTCCTGCCAATGTGTACATGCTAATTTCTAAGTTAAAATAAAATAAGTCTGATGATGTAAGCCTGTGTGGGCTTTGCATCAGTTCCTTGGGAAAATACCATAGTGCATATCTATCTAAAGCTCCTTGTAGCTTCATTATGAATGGAGCAAAAAGTGCAGATTTCCAATGCTCACTCCATCTTTTCATTTGTACTCTGTGACATTCCTACAGCTGAGAAAACTGACTTGGTATCCTTTTGCTATAAACCTAAAACATACTTGAACAGTAGATACAGAAGCCTTTCTCTCCTGGAAAGAACACTATTAGCCTAAGATTTGAATTTTAGTTGTCGTTCTGCACTGCTGAGTACTGACTTCATACCATTAACCTTCCTGGACCTCTACAAACTAGGGCTAAATATTCCCATCAAACCTCCTATGCAGTGTTGTACACCGGCATCTATACTGCATAATTATCACTATTCATCGATGAGTATATTTAAAGATGATTCTTGTCATTGTGGAACAAGATGTATGAACACTGAGAAGAAATCTAATGAAATACTTCATTCTGCAAAGGAAGACAAGAGGAAGACCGTAAGTATTCCTATCAGGATCATTTTTACAGCCAGGACTAAACTTTAAGTCTCAATCTATGGGTAAATACAAAACTACATGACACAGTACACCCCAAGGGTAACTCAACTGTGCTTACACAAATGAAAGAAAGACAAAGTACTCAAAAAAAAAACCCTTGACCAAGGTCATTTAACCACATACAGTTTTTTCCTAAAGTCAGAGGAATACTCTTCTATAACATTCTGTATGATTGCTTGAAAAAAAAAAAAAAAAGAGGACCCATAGACTAAAAAAGATGTCATGTTTTTTTAAATAACCAAATGCACAGTTTGTTGTTACATTGGTAAGTTAATAAAAACTTTAGAATAAAATAAAACAAAACATACATTCCAAATCAATGGATACTGTTTGGATATGACATGAACGAATCCATCTACGAGCTGAAGCTTATTTTATGATAGGATTTTTCTCTCATTACACAAGGTGTCATTCAGGTTTACACAAACATATTTTCAATCTCTCTCCAAAGATAAACCCAGACCAACAGTGGCCAGGTTTCCAGCAGATGGGGAGCACTGAATCAAAGATGAATCATTCATCCACATAACTATTTGAATGTGAGAGCCAACAAAGCAGCAGCAAATGGAATAGAAGATGCACAGAGAGACGGGTACAAGTGAACCAGTGACAAAACCTCTTTGCACAATGAGGAATTAATTTCAGCAGCATACATAACTCACAGCACAGCCCATTAAAATTTCACCTCTATTCCCTTAACATGTGATCTCAAGACTCTCTAAAAACAAAAAAAAAAGAAAAGAAAAGCAAAAACAAAGCTTTCTGTCGGACAGTGGTCAACAAGATGCCTCAAATGGTGCTGGGGTGCTGGAATACAAACCCAATAGACAGTGATCCTGCTCAAGATAATTCAGATGTCTCTAATCAGAACATATGAAATGTCCATCAAATTCACAATTACACGTGCTTAATGCTGTTTTTCTTTGCTATGCAAAACAGCTTCATCCCATCACTATCAAGAAGTCTTTCCATCTATAACTGTTTTACCAAGATGTAAGATGCCCAATTACTCCTTGGACTATTTGGCTTTAAAAAAAAAAAAGAAAGAGAAGTAAATAACTCACATTGACAAGCTTGCAACATGACAGAGAAATAAATGCCCTCAGAGAAAAAAAAAAAGAAATGACTTTAATGTAGGAAGCCATACCACAGTCTCCCCATTTATTACTATCAACATCCTGAACCACCACATTCTCAGGTTAAGAGGAAAAAAAAGGGAGGGCGGGGAGGGAGGATGTAGGGTATAGAGGAAAGCCGTAAAGCATTTGATAATTTCCATATGAAAATTGGAAAATCGTGAGGAAAGGCCATGTTTCCTTTAGATGTTAATGCATACCAAAAAAACAAAAATCCCCCCTGTCCACTGTGCCACCTTCCTTCAAGGTCATTTATCATCAGCACAACCCACCTACGGATGTTTATTAAAAAGAAAATCCAGCTGGACTGCCAGATCCTACCCAGGGACCCACTTATCAAAGGTGTGCTCTAGCTGACAGGCGCTGCTGAGTGGCACAGAGTTAACATTACTTTATATGTGCAGAACCCATCAGCCAGCACGTTTGGTGCCCATTAAGCATTCTGTAACACCACCCTCCATGAGCTCAGCTAACAGTTAAGCCCGCAGGAAGCCCTTGAGTGCATGAGCCTACCAAATTTCCAGCTAATTTTAACCCCCATACAGTTTGATACAAATTGATTGAAAAAGTATGCAGCAACTATATTTGTCCACTCTGAATAAAGAGTCCTTAGTTTTCAGAAAAATCAATGGTTTAAATTAACTTTAAAAAAAAAAAAAAAAAAAAAAAAAAAACCTTTAAACCCCATTTTCTATGAAAAAGACAACTGTATTACCAGCAGGCTTAATATACACCGTGACCAAGGTATTAGTGAAGAGGCTCTTCCAAGCCCGGTCTTGGGCCAACAGTACTTCAAAAAGCATATGCAATGGTGCATAACATGCAGCTATTCGGCTGGATTACTATTAGGTTGCCATCTGATGCGGATCCTGGATTTTTATCCTTCCCAAAGCTTTCTCCCAGTCCGTTTAATGCACAAATGACTGCCTTCCCCCGACTCCAAAAAAAAAAAAAAGAGGAAGAAGAGCAAAAGAGAAAAGACAGTCGTTTACAACGTTCCTGTGCAAATTCGCTGTTTTCATATGTTTAGTACACAAATACATCGACTATTTTCACACCTGAAAGTTAATTTTCCAAAATTCCACCATCTCTACGAGTTTCTGTGATTATAGGTAACTGTAACTGGGAATTGTGTGTGTGTGTATGTTTGTTTTTTTGTTTTGTTTTGTTTTGTTTTTTGTACTGCTGAGGAAAGAAGTACCATCAGAAACTGCAGTTCTAGGTTGGGGAAGTCTGGGGAATCCTGCAAGGGAACATCCTTCAGGAAGGAGGACAGAAGTGGAAAAGGAACGACTGAAAGGATGCTAACTAGGTTATTCTCAGGAGGAAGTTAGGGCATTTTCTTTTCTGGAGAGGCTCTCCAGTCCCAGCTTGGAGGCGAGCAATGCCTCAGCCTGGGAAGTATCTGCAGTGTTTGAACAAATCAGAGAAAGGAAGGAGCAGTGCCAAGAGGTACTTAAGAAGAAAGAACGGTATTAGTGTGGAGCCAAGCTTTCCCTGCCTGCCACCCAGTGTGGGGCAGCCACCCTGCCCTTACACTTACACACACACACACACACAGTTTGCTGCACTTGGCATGCAATAAGCCAGCATTTAGAGAACGACACGTTCACGATGTTCTCCCCCCACCACCACCCGCGCGCGCGCACACACACACTCGCTCCCCATGCCTTCCGCGCTTTGCAAGCGGTCACAGCACCACCATGGATGGCACCAGCCCCGGGAACCGCGGGGACCACGGAGGCGACTCCTCCTCCGCTTTCGCAGCACCTTCACTTGGGGGAAACCTCCGGGCAGCGTCCTGCACCATCACCCCCGCCCCCGGCCAGCTGCGCTGCACGCTACACGGAGTAAGCGAACCGACGTCTTCGCTCCGTGACAACGCGCGGGTCCAGCCGGAAAGCCCAAGAAACCCCCCGGCGGCGGTACTCCCAGAAACGACCCGAGTCCCCGCCGCTCCCCGTGTCCCCACGGGCCACCCTGCTCTGCACCTTGCCCCCGGCCGCCCGGGAGGTCCCAGCCCTGCCACCAGGCAGGCCGGACTGGCCGTCCCCTCCTTCCCCGGATCCCTCAGCTCCGAGGCTCCTGTCCCCGTTGCCCCGGGTCCGAGCCCGGGCGCCTCCCGCCGGCTCGCCGCGCTCCATCCTCTAGCTTTCCACACGCGCGCACAGACACGCGCCCTTGCCTTCCCGCGCCCCAACACGCACACCTGCATACACTTTGGTGATGCCCGCTCCTCCCGCATCCCCAGGGGGCACCCCTCGCCCCGCCCTCGAGTCCCCGCTGCCCGCTGTCACTCTGCCCGGACCCCGCTAGTGGATGCCCTGGCGCCCCCTTCCCCTGGGAGCACACGCGACGCACGGCGCTTACAGTTCGCAGGAACTGGATCTCGTCTTCGCCCTCGCCCCCATCGGCCATGGTTCCGCGCCTCCTGGCCGGGGCCGGCTCCCGAGCCCCGCGGAGCCCGGCGGCGGCGGCGGCCCCTGGCGCTGCCGGCTGCTTCTGCTGTCGGGAGCCGGGGGCGGGAGGGGGCCGCGCTGCCGAGTGCCGAGCGCCCGGCTGTCCCCGCCTGCAGAGCGGAGGAGGAGGCGCAGACGCTCGGGCGGGGGTGGTCGAGGCGCGGGGCCTCCCCGCGCCGCACTGTGCGGGAGGAGGGCGGCCCGGGCCCGGAGGACGCGGTGAAGCAGCCCCGCAGCCCAGCCGCGCTCGCTGCCTGCAGCCGGCGGTCCGCTCGGTCCCGGCTCCTCCGAGCGAGTGCGCCGAGCCAGCTGAGCCGGGGTTAGTGCTGCGGTGGGGGTGGGGTGTGGGGGCGGGCGGGGAGGAGCTCGCCGGCTCCCCGCTGCTGCAGGTAATCCGCAGCCCGCTCCTCCGGGCCGCCAAACCCGAGGCCCAGCGCCACTTACTGGCTGCGCTGGGTATTGGGGCCGCAGGGCAGCCGGCGAGCGCACAGCCTGCTACTTGCGCCCCGCTGGGGTCCCTGGGCTCATTCACCTGCCCCTTCCCAGGTTAAAAGCTCCGGCACTACGCCTCTTCCTCCTGGACTAGGCTAGAGCGCTGAATTCCACAGCACTTAGGATCGCACGGAATGATATCTTTCACCTGGGCGCACGGGGTGGCTAATCTCCTAGTAGAGATTACTCAACACCTGGTATTTTAAACGTGGATTACCTCTATTCATGATCAACATGGGAATTCTTCAATATCTAGTTTTAGTGTACCATGCTTTTCGCAGATAATCGATGCAAAGTGCACGGTTTTGGTGCACAGAACGTTAACATTCAACAAATATATAGTGAGCGCCTATGCCAGACAATGTCGTACAAGACAGACCCAGGAGTTTATGGTCTATATTCGAAGTGCAAGCCTTAATTCAACAAGGAATTGCGGTAAAGTATGGGATAATATCTGTAAGTCTGAACCACTGGATGGGTCGAAAGTCAGACTATGCTACCCATTATCCTTGCTGAGAGACGAAATTCAGGCATTCCACCGCAGGTAGCAATATCCTGCCCTCGCAATCCTCCATGCAACAGTCTACCAAATGCCTACTTAACTACTTAAACGGCTATGACTAAGAAAATACAGAGTCTGAGACGATTTGGAGAAGAAAGCATTTGTCTCTCGTTCCTAGTCCACAGTGCCTTCATTTATCATACTTAAGTATGTGCAAAGTAAAGTTTTCAAATGTCAGTACTACAGAGATGCAGACATTGTAAAACAAGGATTTTTGCGTCCGTTTACCTATGTCTCACATTCTGTGGCATCTATCTCATTATTAAAATCGACCAGTGAGTTCTATGCAGTTTGTATTTTATTTTTAGCATTGGGTTAGGTTTTGTAAATTTCCAGGAGAATGACAATATGTGTATAAATACTCTCTCCGTGGTGGAACTAGTAATGTTCTGCCCTATCTTATGGAAGTATACTAGTCACCTTACCTAAAAACTTGACCTATCCTTGTAGCCATGACGACTAACCAACTCTTAAACCATTATTATTTATGTGAATGTTTACTCTTACGAGTCTCTAAACGAACAACCAGTGAGCTCCCAAAAAGTCGGGTAAAAGTCCTCCATGAGCAATGACTATATTCTGAAATTGGCTCATGATTTAATGTTAAACGATTTGATCTTCCAAATTTAGAATATATCAAATTGACGTTTTAAAGTACTTTATTCAGAACTATGCAGAGACGGGTTTCTTAATTACTCCATTCTACCCAGATGGTAGGTAAAATAATATAAAAACTCTTACCACGTCTTCATTTTGGCATTTTAACAAGGCTGTAAACTTTTCTAGCAAGAGTTATGGTTATTATATCTTTAGTTCTCTCAATGTAAGTGGAATAATGCTAAATGGCCTAGACACTCGATGATTCTTATTCACCCTACACAGTCTTCAGCAGCAAGTAGACATAGAGCAGAGGCTATTTATAAAACATACCGTTTACGTGGACTTTAAAACACAAAAATACAAAACTATGAGGTTTATAGATCTCCAGTCTGTTCTAAAAGTATAGAAATATGTTTGAGAATGATATAAAACATTTATTTTCAAAAAGAAAACCAAAGCAAATATAACAAGTGTTTTAATATTGGTGATGGGCATAGTGGTGGAATATTATTTTTGGTACTCTGATATTCTGTTATATTTCATAATTATATAACGAAGTAATTTTTACAAGAAAGCAACCTCAGTGAAAGCTATGGAAACTTTTTACTTATAGCTTTTTTAAAAAAAAAAAAATTTAATCCTTTTGGATGATTTAGTTATAATTCCCTAGTTTCTTCTTCTGGTGGACAGTTATAGTAAGAAAATTTGTTTTCCAGTGCAGAGATCATAGGATACTAACTAACCTCAATTTTAAGTGTACTTGAGAGAAAATACATATAATTTGGATACAGCTTAAAGTTTAGGTTTACTGTATTTAATTCTTATTGTAGACTCAGACTAACAGAAATTAACAAGTAAACCTTTTTCTAGGCGCAAAACTATAGTTCATTAAATAGAAAAAAAATATTTACCATTTTCATTAGAATGTAATATTTGATATCTATATATTTTGTAATTTGTATTAAAATATTTATTGGCTGCGCATCATGGCTCACACTTGTTATCCCAGTGCTTTGAGAGGCCAGAATGGGATGATTGCTTGAGGCCAGGAGTTCAAAGTAAGCCTGGGCAATGGAGACCTCATCTCTACAAAAAAAAAAAAAAATTACTAGCGAGGCGTGGTGGCATAAACCCATAGTCCTAGCTACTTGGGAGGCTGAGATAGGAGGATTACTTGAGCCCAGGAGTTAGAGGCTACAGTGAGCTATGATCAAGGCACTACCCTCCAGCCTGAGTAACAGCAAGACTTTGTCTCAAAAAAAATAAATTCCCATTTTCTCAATTCATGTTATGTATAATAGTTTATTTTGCTTTTTATTGTCTTAATATTTTTTAATTATAATATAATATTTATATTCAACAGATAACACTCCATTTTAAATCTTTGTTAATCATAAAATTAATAATAAAAAGTTTAGAGGATGACATTTCTATGTTTCTTAGTCCACATTTGGGAAATATTCTTCTTTATGATTAATTTCATATTCTGCAAGAGAGGGAAAAATTATATTTTTACTTTTTTAATTAAGAGTTTTTCTGCAGTCATCTAATTAAGAATGGGCCATCGTAGCCCACTTATTCACTTGGCAGGATGCTAGACAGCCTTAAAGAAGAAAAAAACTAGGACAAATGTTAGATTTTTCATTTTGGCTTACAATTGACTAAACTCCCCAATGATGTACGTGAGCTTAAAAAATTAACTTCTTCCTCAAGGTTTCTACAGAAACTCAGCTAAAATACTCAATGTTATCATTTTAATTCAGCTTCTTTCAATTAAGATCACATACATTAAAGGCTTTATTACTGACTTGAAAGCCTCTGGAATTGTCATCAGATCGTTATAAAATTAGGATTAGAGAGCCTCTTACATCCTGGGATTTAGCCCATTTCTTGTTAACTCAGATTTCCTGTTTCAAAATCTCTAAGGAACATTTCATACCTATATTCTTATCCCACTTCAGAACTCAATAAACCAACATTTTACAAAACTTCCATTTTATTTACATCTTTATTGCGTATGTTCTAAAATACTATAATTCTTATGAGCACCTGTCCTAGAAATAAATCCCTGGGGAATTCACCACAAGCCAGTCCTCAGGTCACATGGCCTGAATCTCTGGGTCTGCATTAATGCAAGATGGCCAAAAATTACATAACGAATGATGACGATGGTGATGAAACTTCATTTATTGAACATTTACTATGCTCCAAGCACTTTCATTTTATTTTTTCTTTTCATCTTCGCAGCAATGTCATTTTTGAAAAAAAGAAATGAAGGCTTAAAGAAGTTAAGTAGCTTGGCCAAGATTATGCAGCTGCTGAGTGATGACACAGGGGTCTGAGGACTTATGCTCCTCCCCTACCTCCATCCCAAAGCGGAAAGCACAAAAAAGAGTCTAGACTAGCATGAACTATAAAAGGCTCTGGCAGCCCGGGGAGATCTGTCCCTGGTTTCAGGCCAAAGCAGGTCCTGCTAGCTCTTGGAATACCAAGTAAGTTCTGGAAAGAGACGGGGATTACTATGTGTTCAGAAATAAAATCCAATTTGTGCCTTTCTCCACAGTTTGGATTCTTAGGGGAAATCAGTTTTTCAAGACTCGAAGGTTATTCACCACTATCGTATTAGTTCCTTTACAAATTATGAAGCCCCAAACTACAATTAGTATTCCAATTTTCAGGGTCAGGACTGAACGACGTGCAGGTAGAAAAAGTACACATGATCTACCTCTTGGCATCAGAGGAGCCCTAGACATCACAGCAAAGGGTGACCCCCCCTGACGAAAAGTCTGCTTGTCACTGTAGTCCCCTCTTATCCACAGCTTTGCTTTCTGCAGTTCCAGTTACTCAAAGTTCCAAAATATAAAATGGAAAATTCCAGAAATAAACAATTCCTACATTTTTAATTGTGTGCCCGTCTGAGTAGCGTGATGAAACATGAATCATCCCTTTGTCCAGCGTATCCACTCTTCTGGACTCCCCACAGTAGCTGTTTCAATGATCAAATCAACTATCCTCGTATCATGCTGCCTGTGTTCAAGTATACCTTATTTTACTTCATAATGACCCCAAAGTGCATGACTAGTGATGCTGGCGTATTGTGATTACTGTTCTGTTTTATTACTAGTTATCGTTGTTCATCTCTTACTGTGCCTCTTATAAACTAAACTTAAACCTAGGTTTGTATGTGTAGGGTGAAAACACAGTATACATAGGGTTCAGTCCTATCCATGGTTTTGAGCATCCCCTGAGGTCTTGGAATGTATCCCCTACAGATTAGGAAGTAGGGGTTCCTAAGGAAATGTGGGTTCCCCAGCCACGTTCCCAACTCAAATTGCCTAGTGGCTTCCCAAGTAGGTTATTCTGACTGGCACGTGTCCCTGAAGGCAGATCTTCCTCCTGATTTGCCTTTTTCTGTTGTACTACATACAGCTCGAATCCAAACTCTGATCACCATCTTTGATTCCTCTCTCACCTTCCCCACTGAACATCAGAGTGTCTTTTTATAAGTAAAAGGCATTTTCCTGATTCTTGTCTTTATATCCCAGAGTATTTCACTAACGTCATCCCTAATCTTCCTGTTTCTTATGGTTTTCCGGAGCAAATCATCTTGCTGACTCCCACCAGCA